AAATTTTTGTGTCGTGATACTTTAGACTCTACTGATAGATGATAAATGATACATGGTAAGTTTAAACTGTTAAGAAAAAATGGGGAAAAAACGGTACATTTAAACTTGTTAATTAAAATAGCTTAATTTACGGTAACAGATCATTAATCAGCATTAAATTAGCACGTAATTGGATATTAATTTCAAATTTTGAAAATCAAAGATTATATCATCTATTTTGAATACATCTTTTATGAACAAACTGTTAAACTTCGAACTGCAGTAATTTTATTGTTGTTATTGTGGATGTTTCATGATGAATACATCAATTTTGATGAGACATTCCGGAATTTGGGTGATACACAACAAATTCCTGTATCAATGCATCGTCTAAAACACTATACACACTGATTCAAAATGTATCAGCAAGCACACTTGATGAATTTAAAATGTATCAATGCATCATCTAAAACACTATACACACTTGATGGTTTCAAAATGTATCAGCAAGCACACTGATTCAAAATGTATCAGCAAACACTTCATGTTTCAATGCATCGTCTAAAACACTATACACACTGATTCAAAATGTAGCAGCAAGCACACTTGATGGCGCGGTTATTGAAATTAATCACTGATACATGATAAAAAATTTCAAAAACCCTTGATACATAGGAAATCATATGATACACATCTAATGCATGTATCGAATCATAGACTAAACATTATAATCCACTTAGTACTTATGTATTAAACCTATTGTCTGATACATGATAATAATTTTCATAATTTTTTGATACATATTGGATTCCTTAAAATTTTTACTAATTTCAACAACAATTTTAAAATAAGTATAAAAATACAAACCCGAAACAATGTAGGCCTGACAACAATGTTTGCTGCTTCTTTTTTCTTTTTATGTTGTATTTTGACAACATTTGATTTTGATGTTTCGCTAGAGTCTTTGTTTGAATCCTTCTGAAGCTTCATAGAATCATGAAAGACTTTTTTTTTTATTTTCTTTCTAATTTTCATCGTCGGAATCATATATCCTTCTATTAATTAACGGATCCATTACTATGATGTAATAGAACAATTAACCAAAACAAAAAAAGGAAGAAAATAAGAACTGATGATGGAATAATAAGAAAAAGAAGAAACCAATAACAAATGCTGGGTTAAGAAGAAGAAAGACGATGATGGAGTAAGAAGAATTGAAGACGTGATGGAGTAAGAAGAACAATAAGAACTGGAGAGAAATTGTGCAGTTTTTTTAAATTTCAAAATTTTTATTTTGAAATTCAAAATTTCAAAATTGGGTGTTTTAATTAAAATTAATAATTCAAAATCCAAAAACTGATTTAGAAGATTGAGTGTTTTAGTGGAGAAAAAATAGGCATTATATTGGGGGATTGTGTATTATATGAGAGAGAATGTTATGTATCTATACACTTCTACTAAAATTTTAAAAAAAGGGAATTATGTAATATTTAAAAAAAAAAAGGAAAAATTAGAGAATATAAAACTTATAGTTGTGTATTTAAGTTATTTTTTATTTTTATAAAGTTGAAAATCAGCTCATTCCCATCTCACCTTTACCCAATAAAACATAAAATCTCATACAAATTTATTATCCATGTTAATCCATTTTCAGTAACTCAAACAGTATTTTCTTCCTTTTTCTTTACTATTTTAATAATATTAAGAAAAGATAAAAAGGTTTTCTTTTAAAAAAACATTGTATCGTTTTTTAAAAACGTGAAAAAACGCTTCAAAAATATTCGAATATAAAAATTTGATAAGATAAAAAGGCATACTATGTTTTATCAAGCAAAAAAATTAACTCAAGCCGTTCCTACAAAATTACAACATATTTTGGGTAAAAAAAATTACATTTTTGCTTTTTGCTTTATGCTTTTTGCTCTTTGCTTTTGCAGCCAAAAAGGATATATCTATAGGCTATACTGTTCCTATGGTTATTGGGAACTATTATGTACATTTTTCAATTAATAAAGTCTTTGACCTTCATTGTTTCAATGATATGTTTTCTATTTTTTTTTTAAAAAAAAAAACATTTTTTGTATTGCTGACATTAAATGTCTCATGTAATGCAGTTTATTGCTCCCACCATATTAGTATTATTTGTCATGTTACATTTTTTAAAAGTTAATATGACTAATTTTCAAAGTTAAATTAGATTACATTAATTTAATATTTTAAACAAAAAAAATAGATATTTTAAAACTATATGAAAAATACTACAAATTGCAATTTTTTGCACATTAATATGAAAAAAAATACATCTTACACTTACCGAATGCTCAATGATCAATGAAATGAATATTGAAACATATCATTTTTAAAATGATCGAATCTCATGTATAATTAAGAGTTAGAAAAATCATATTATAAATATAATTAAGAAAATAACGATTGCATTTTTTACTTGGTATTCTTTCATTTGGCATATGAAACTAAATCAAACACTATTATAAATTTCTTATTTTAGGTACGTTAAATAAAAGTGAATAAAACATAACAATTTATCTGAGTAGTTTGATTGATTTTTCAATTAAGGTGCAGATTTTAGATTTTTACTTACACATAAATTACACCAAACTAGAATGTATTATCATGGAAAAATACATGGCAACACAAATTAAGAACTTTCATATTTCTTGATAATGAAGAATTTTGTGGAGTAGCAACATAGATTTGATATTCGTATAATATAATGTCTTTAAAATATATAATTTCTTTATTATTTATAAAAGTAGAAATAGGCTTTAGTAGGAGTGTGAAAAAATCCAACCGCCCCATAAATCGAATAAAAAAAATATATTATTAAGTTATTGTGTTTTTAATGAATTTATAAAAAAAATTTATTGAGTTATTAATTCGGTATCAATTTTTTTATTATTGAATTATTGAATAAATCGATAATTCAATATAATAATTTATTATTATACCCTTCCTAATTATTAAATATTAATAGTAATCTTTGTTTCCTTTACTTTTTTATTTACATTTTGCTCTATTTTTCATTTAAAATATGTCAAATAATATTAAAGAAAAATGGAGATTTTGACTTTTTTTAATCGTTCTAGCTTTAGGATGTAACCAAAAATCACTTTCTCACGCGTCTAATATAGTGTGTTGTCAATTTCTATGTCAAGTGGACAATAAAAGTATACGTGATGGAGGAATAAAAAAGTTTGAAGTAATTAAAATGAAATATAATTTAAATATATATCGAATAAAAAGCTTCAAGTTCAGCGATAATAAATACTTTACCTTTATTTTAAGTAAATTCAACCACTCTCGCCCTCTCTATATATACGGGGGTAAAAAAGAAGAAAAAAATTTAGAAAAGAAGTGAAAAGTAAAATATAGGTACAACTAAAATTGTTGATGAGCTTCTACACTTATTATGGTCGCAAAATAAATATAAGTCTAACATAGCTTTTTAGCTATCTAGTTTGCCAACTTTGAAATATATATTAGTAGTATTTGTTAGCGAAATTTAAATAAATATACTAAAATAAATAAATATTTATTATTTATAGTAATAATATTTCTTTTTCACTTGATCACTTTTAATTTATTTACAACACAAGTTTAATTCATATTACAAAGAACAATTTCTTATTCACATATAATACAAATTTTAATGATAGATAATTCGTTTATCACACATGTTAATACACTTATAATTCAATGTGTCAATTTTTTATCAAACAAACATAATATATCTTTAAAAACAATTATAATTCATATATATTACATACATAATTCACTTTTAACATATATTGCAGATTTAATATAGCATTGCTATAAATAGTAATAAATAAAAAATATTATTAAAATCAGTAATTATTTATTAAAATGTATCAATTCAGGTAATTTTTCCTATTTGTTAAGCTACCTTCTGTTTTTGGACATGAAATTTTGTTTTGTTTTTTAATAGAAGCAATTACGTATTAATAGGAGTCCAATTTATTTTTAATTTTCATTTCTTTGAGTGATAGAACCAAATAAAATCAGATTTAGAAAACCAAATAAAATTGGTTAGTTAAAATGATAACTATGAATTAGCTTTGCTATATTTTACCGTAATTATAATTATATTCAGAAATATATTTTATTAATTATTTATTAAGTTACCTTGTTTATTATAAAAATACTTGATAGTGTAGAAAATTTTATACACTAACTGTGCACAAAATTTAAATTCATGACAATATGGGTTCAACTAATTAATTAGAAAAGACTTGCTCCAATCTTTGATTGTTAATTATTTAAATCTTGTCATATTAATATGAGTTTGTGCTTGTTTAATTATTCACAAAAAGAGCATAATAAAAGAAACTATAGCAATTCGCATGACTTTAGTTATATTTGTTATTTTTTTTTAATTATTAAATAGTTCTAAAAAAATAGTTGTTAAAATATAATATCAAAGTTGCACAAAATATGGTACATTTTGTAATGGTATTAAATAAATGATGGAATCAAACCATATTAGATATTGAATTGTTGTTACGATAATACACTTATTCACATGATCAATTTTCGTTTGCTCGTTCAAAATGAATATTAATATTTATATTAAGAGTCTTGACCATGATACTATAATTAAAATAATATAGATCATACATATCATCAATAAGAATATGATACATTCCACTCCATCACATATTTATACCTCATATAATCAAAGCATGTAAACTCTCTTTTTTTTTTACGTATATCTAATTTTAATTTAATTATTCATCTTTGTAATATTGAAAAATAATGATCAATTCCATAGAAAGTAGAAACTTACATTTTATTCTTTCACGTATAATTATTTATCCAAATTAATTTTAATTTTTAATATTATTTACACAGTTATGTGTATTACATAATTCAAGATATAGGTAACTCGCATATAAAATAACTAATATTTAAAAATGAAAAGAAGGGGAAGAAAAAGGGGAAATGTATATAGAGATAGAAACTTTTCTTATTTTAGCATTAACTTTTTTTTTAAAGTTACATATAATCGAGATAACTATATATTAACTATTTTAAAAGAAAAAACTGTAATTTCATCATTTTTCATATTTTTTTAATATTATATTTTGTCCATAAAATCTTCATTCTTCATGCCCCTATTAAGTTTTGCAATCCAATTTTCGAAAACGTATATTTTGAGCAAGCACATACATGGAGTGCACAACGATAAGGAGGTTTATGGCAAAAACTCTTACAATCTTCATCTTTCTCACAAAAACAACACAACTTGACGTCTCTTGCCTCAACGTCTGGTGAAACACCTGTAAAAATGAAAAAAAGATAATCTATAACTGATCGTGATATGTATGAAGTTTTTATCTTAACGAAAAATACATATATATACTAAAGACACTTATTTCCTACAAAATTATGACGTAATTTTTAGAAAATGTACCTGTCAAAAATTATTCTGAATTAATTTGTAAAAAAATTAAAATTATCGATAATTTTTTCAAACGTGATAAAAGAAATCATATATAAATAATATAATATGAATATAAAAGAAATCATATATAAATAATATAAAAAATCTATAACTGATCGTGATATGTACATTGAAGCTTTTATCTTAACAAAAAATACATATATATACTAAAAACGCACGTATTTCCTACAAAATTATGACGTAATTTTTTCGAAAATGTACCTGTCAAAAATTATTCTGAATTAATTTGTAAAAAAATTTAAAATTATTGATAATTTTTTCAAACGTGATAAAAGAAATCATATATAAATAATATAACATGAATATAAAAGAAATCATATATAAATAATATAAAAAATCTATAACTGATCGTGATATGTACATCGAAGCTTTTATCACATATATATACTAAAACGCCACATATTTCCTATAAAATTATGACGTAATTTTTCGAAAACGTGCTTGTCAAAAATTATTCTCAATAAATTTATAAAAATCTAAAATCATCGATAATTTTTCAACGTGATAAAAGAAATTATATATAAATAATATAATATAGAACGATGTTGTTGTTTAATTGGTGCATCTTATATACTCACATGAGTAATTCTAATCCTAAAAAAAACAATCTTTCGTCTACTTCTTCTCCCTCCCTCTAATGAATGTGTAACTTCACCTAAAAATAAACAAATCAATAAGTAAATAAAAAAAATAAATCTATGAAAATAATATTTTAATACAAGAAAAAATAAAAAGAAAATTTGTGGAAAGAAAAATCAAAAAGTGGTTGTAATATTCATGTATTAAAAAAAATTAAAACAAGTACACAATATAAAAGAGGGAGAAAAAAACTTACAAATTTTTATCACCGTGATCATAAGAAAAAAAGTCATCACTTTGAAAGCCATATCAAAATATTTTTTTTCTAATGCCACAATATTCTACTTGAAAATAATATGTGAATGCTTCTATTTATAGCATGGTGAATTAAATATTTCAATGAATTTAATTTATGTTATAAAAATAAAATATCTAATGAACACAAAATGACCAATATTCAATAAAAATTAAATGATATACAAGAAAACAGTAAGTATGAATTTATCTACTAAAGAAATATTAAATTATAATTTTGAAAAATAAATTTTAAATTTGGTAAAATAGTCAAACTTTGTTTTTTGAGCCATAGGTGTTATTGATTTGATGACCAAAATATTTTATAGCAAATTAAAGTAACTCTAAGGAGAATAAAACAAGTATTTTATGGTCTTTTAACTCTTATCTATTACAAAAAAGACATTAAATTCTAATTTACGTTATATACAATCAAATTTAAAACTTGATCCAAAGTTTAGTCTAATACGTTTTGTTACTTTGAAGACAATTAACATAACAAATGGATCAATGGAAGAAATATAATTAATATTAATGGTATCTATTTAGCACAAATTAAATTGTGTTATCACATTCAAATATTTAGTAGCAAATTAGAGTAAATAAGAATATACAATCATGGAAGTTCTATTTTGTTTTATTTTTATTTTTTAACACTATCACAAAAAAAATCGATCTCTCTTCTATTCAATTATATATAATATAAAATAAATGATTTTGGATTGAGTATGAAAAACAAAAGGATTGAATTATTGATTTTAGTTGGGCAAGTCTGAAATGGATCGAAGAGGTAAAATTTTGAAGTTACGATATATTTTTAAAATTAGAAAATTAATTTACATATGCTTTAAATTAGAAAATTGAGGAATATATTTATCCCTTTACCTTTAGCCCTGCCATCAAGCGATAATTGAACTAATAACTAATTAACTTACAAAAGATAATTTTCTTGTAAACAGTCACATTGAGATATATATTTTTTTTATTTTAATTTATGTGATATCACTCTATTGAGCAGAAAATTTAAGAAATATGAAAAAAATTATTGTGTTCGCTAAATTGCCTTTATTAAATCACTTTAATATTTACTTGAGTTGATTTTTCTTCGTAATAAAATGTTAAATGAGATTCAATAAAAATAAAGTAAAATGACAATATTAAATAGCTATCAACTAAGAATGTATTTTTTACAAAATTGCCACATAAATTTATATTGAAAGAATTATTATAGAACTGATATTGACTTATCGACTATCGATTTGAAACATGCTAAATCATTATGAAACCATTAAGAAATGATTTATCAACTATCGTTTTATTGATCATTATCTATTCAATTATCAATTTTATCGTTAGATTTGCCACAAAAAATAAATAATTGAAAATTATGTAGAAATATCGTGAAATAATAAACAAACCATGAGTTTGATATATTACGTCTTGTTCAAAAAACAACAAAGAAACTGCCAGAAATAAATAAAAAAATGAAACTAAATTCTACCGAATAAAATAAATATAATATGTGAATTTACAAAACGATTATGGAAAATACTTATCCGCATCAAGTGTTCACAGCAAATCAATGTAATTTTCATTATTACGTGATTGAATGAAGTAGAATGAACTATAAATCCAAACACATAACATACATATTAATGTGTGTAAGTTTTACCCTACAATTATCTGTTAACCCGAATCATCAACCTGCGGATAAAAAAAATTAAAATTATTATCAAAATCATTAAACTAATAACTCATTACCATAAATCAATTACTTTTTTTGTTCGAATTATAAAATTTTCGAATTAATAAATTTTACGTGATATATGAACACATGATTACACAGTTAACTAAATTAAACCATTGCTAAGCTGCTAATTATCCAGCCATGGCAGTTTGGTGGAGGAATATAAGCAGCTCAAGGAAGCAGCTAAGCTATCTGTGTGACAGAGACATTGCATCAGTTCAAAAATTACGTTATCAATCAACATTGAGGTGCAAAATTTCTGATGCTGTTCCAGATATACGTAGAGTGAACAAGAACATCACAAATTTGATTCGAAATGGTCGATTAGAGGATGCTCGGGTATTATTTGATGAGTTAACACATCGAAATACAGTTACTTGGAACTCAATGATTAGTGGGTATGTGCAACAGCGTGAGATTGTGAAAGCACGGTACCTGTTTGATGAAATGCCGCAGAGGGATGTTGTTTCTTGGAATTTGATGATTTCTGGTTATTTGTCTTGTAGAGGGAGAGGGTATTTGGAGGAGGGTAGGAATCTGTTTGGTGAAATGCCTGAGAGAGATTATGTTTCTTGGAATACTATGATTAGTGGGTATGCTAAATGTGGGAGAATGGATGAAGCGTTGGAGGTTTTTGAGTGTATGCCTGTGAAAAATGTTGTGTCTTGGAATGCGGTGATTTCGGGTTTTTTGCGTAATGGGGATGTGAAAACTGCTGTTGAGTATTTTAAGAGAATGCCAGTGAGGGATTCGGCGTCTTTTAGTGTACTTGTATCCGGTTTGATACAGAACGAGGAATTGGATGAGGCGGAACATTTTCTGTATGAATTTGGAGAGTGTAATGATGGGAAAGAAGATATGGTTCATGCATATAACACTTTGATTGCCGGATATGGTCAGAAAGGAAGAGTTGGTGATGCTAGACGCATTTTTGATAACGTTCCATCTTTTAGCGGTCAGGGAAATAGCAAAAAGAAGAAATTTGAGAGGAATGTGGTATCGTGGAATTCCATGATCCTGGCTTATAGCAAAGCAGGAGATTTGGTTTCTGCAAGAGAACTTTTTGATCAGATGACGGAGAGGGATATATTTTCATGGAACACAATGGTTTGTGGCTATGTCCATGCGTCAAATATGAGTGAAGCATCAAGCCTGTTTTCTAAAATGCCAAATCCTGATGTACTAACATGGAATTCAATCATCTCTGGATATGCACAGGCGGGAAAGTTGGAATTGGCACGTAATTATTTTGAAAGGATGCCCCACAAGAATCGGGTTTCTTGGAATTCAATGATCTCGGGGTGTGAAAGAAATGCAGACTATGAAGGAGCAATAAAGTTATTCAGGACGATGCAACAGGCAGGAGAGAAACCTGATAGACACACACTTTCCTCACTTCTAAGTGTTTGTGCTGAAACTGTGGCATTGTTTCTGGGTATGCAGATTCATCAGCTAGTGACAAAGACTGTTATACCAGATATACCTTTAAACAATTCCCTAATAACCATGTATGCAAAATGTGGCAAAATACATGAAGCAAGGGTAATTTTCGAAAAGATGAAATTTCAAAAGGACGTAATCTCATGGAATGCAATGGTCGGAGGATATGCATCTCATGGTTTTGCATTTGAAGCGCTAGAGCTTTTTGAATTAATGAAGTGCCTGAAAGTGAGGCCAACTCACATCACGTTCATTTCAGTTCTGAATGCATGTGCTCATGCTGGTTTAGTGGATCAAGGTCGGTTATATTTTAAATCTATGGAATCTGAATTCGGCATCAAACCTGAGATTGAACATTTTGGCTCCCTTGTGGATATTGTTTGTCGAGATGGGCAACTTGAGGAAGCCATGAAAGTGATTAACACTATGCCACTGGAGCCAGATAAGGCTGTCTGGGGTGCAGTACTAGGTGCTTGTAGGGTGCACAACAATGTTGAGTTGGCGCGAATAGCAGCTGAAGCGCTAATGCGCCTAGAACCAGAGAGTTCAGGTCCTTATGTTTTGCTGTATAACATGTATGCTGATGCTGGAAGGTGGGATGATGCAAATGAAATCAGGATGTTGATGGAAACAAATAAGATAAGGAAGGAGCCCGCTCATAGCACGGTCGGCTCTACTTCCTCATAGTGATTTCCGAAATTGTGAATCTTGATCACTCGAAGAATTTGGACCGAGTTGACTATGTTGGGGCTTAAGTCATTAGAAGAAAGATGTCACATGCAGTGTCTTGCCGATCATTTGCAGTATCCCTTGCTTTGACAAAATAATGCAACAATGCTGTTAAACCCCTGTGTCATAGAACTAAGAGTTCCTAATCTTTGGACTTTGTATGAAGTTCAACTGGAGAGTTACTCCTGTTTGCCTTTTTTTCCTGATAATTATGGTTCTTCCTTCACAATTATTGGTTTTTTATTGCTTACTGGAGAATGGAGATGACCATGTTCATTGCTCTAATTCATGTCAGGCAACACTGCTCTCTGACATCAAGCATTTCCACCAGAACAATCAGAAAAGAGACCAAAGCTTATTAGGATGGAGAACGTTAACATCGATGCAAATGCTCCAACTTCTCAACATGTATTCAAATAACTGAAGAGGAGCTTGTGGGGTTTGAGGATGATGCTGAGAAGCTAATTCATTTACTGACTAAAGAAACAGAGGATCTGGATAGTATATCTATTGTTGGCATGCCTTGTCTAGGGAAGGCAACTTTGGCCACAAAGACATTCAAAGATCCTTCTATTGTTTTGTCGCTTTGACATTCGAGCATGGTGTGCTGTCTCACAAACATAAAATCCGAGAGAGCTATTAATTGACATCGTTGGGCGAGTCACAGGCGTGCATCACAGTGATGGTATAGCTGATATGTTGCTCACATGTTTGATTGGCAAAAGATATCTCATTTGTTGGATGATATATGGGAAGTCGAGTCGTGGGGTTAGTTAAGATTATGTTTTCCAGTTGGTGGAAATTGAAGCAGAATTATCGACTTAAACAAGTAGCAGATGAACTGATGCGACATGATGATCCATAATGTCTTGGATTCATTTGAAAATGTTGCTGAAGTAACTGAAAAGGAAGCTTTGCCCCCTGAACTTCGGGTGCTGGAATACAAATTCATTTGAAGATATCGTGGCTATGTCAATGTAGTGCTGAAAAATTTTCCCCAAGGAAAACATGTATTAAGCAGGTATTGATCCCTAGTCCTCTAATCGTTTCGTATGGTGTATTAATAATCCATTAACTCCGTATATCTTATTTGGTACATTTTTTTCATGCTATGTATTCTTATTGTGTATTGAGGTGTGTATTACTAATACTATGAAATAAAATATGTATATGTTTAATGCAAGTATTATTAATATTTTAACCTCCTCCTTTGGAATCTTTTGCCACAGGAATCTTTATTTGCTCAGTGCTTCAGTGCCCACTTCTTTCACACTCACTCCATCAAGATTTGCCATTGATGGATTTCAAGTTCCTCTCTTTTCTCATCTTCCACTACTTCCTAATCAATTCATCAACAATCTATGCATCTCTTCCATTCCCTAATGACTCTCTCCCCACTAAGTCTGGCTACCTCAGGGTCAATGACACAACCAGCTCCGCCATTTTCTACACATTCTACGAAGCTCAAAATCTCACCACACCTCTTTCTCAAACCCCACTTCTCATTTGGCTACAAGGCGGACCTGGATGCTCCTCTATGCTCGGAAACTTCTATGAATTATGCCCTTGGCGAGTCTCTTCTTCTCACAGACAAAAAATCGAACATGTAGCGCACAATCCTAATAATGGATCTTGGAATCGGATTTTTGGGTTGCTTTTCCTTGATAATCCAATTGGTGTTGGATTTAGCATTGCTGCAACACCTGAAGAAATCCCGAGGAACCAAAAAGGAGTGGCAAAGCACTTATATATCGCGATAAAAAAGTTCATCGAGCTGAATGAATCGTTCAAGGATCGGCCTATTTACATCGCGGGTGAGAGTTATGCTGGTAAATATGTGCCAGCAATTGGATATCAAGTCTTGAAGAAAAATGTCATGTTGCCTGTTCGTAGTAGAGTGAATTTGGCTGGAGTTGTCATTGGTAACGGACTAACTGATCCGATTAGCCAAGTTGCTACTCATGCTGCAAATGCGTATTACTTTGGATTGATAAATGAAAAACAAAGGAAACAACTAGAGTTGCTTCAAGAGAAGGCGATTTCGTTGGCAAAGAATGGTAATTGGAGTGATGCAACGAATGCTCGAAGTAAAGTCTTGAACACTTTACAAAACATGACTGAAATGCCAACTCTGTATAACATTAGAAGGCACAAGCCATACCAAAACCATCTGGTAGCTGAGTTTTTGAACAATGTTGAGGTGAAAAAGGCATTGGGAGTGAATGAAACTATTGTTTTCGAGGTGTGTAGTAAGGTGGTGAGGGAAGCATTACACGAAGATTTGATGAAGAGTGTGAAGTATATGGTGTTGTTCCTTGTCAAGAATACTAAAGTTTTGTTGTATGAAGGTCAGCTAGATTTGAGAGTTGGGTTAGTGTCAACCGAGGCGTGGGTGAAGAGAATGAAGTGGGAAGAAATCGACAAGTTCTTGGAAGCAGATAGGAAAGTTTGGAGAGTCAACGACGAGCTAGCAGGGTATGTGCAGAAATGGAGGAACTTAAGCCATGTTGTGGTGTTGGATGCTGGACATTTGGTTCCACATGATCAACCATTGAATTCTCAGGCCATGATTGAAGATTGGGTACTTGAAAAGGGAGTTTTTGCTAATGATCAAATTGAAAACTTGTCCACCAATATGTTTGATGTACTTTAGGACTATGTTGCTCAGTCTCTTCAAAAATATTATCGGGTGTTAGTTTGATCCACCAAAAATAGTGTTTTTTTAGAGGATCTGACACGGGTGCAATTGTATTTTTGGAAAGTCCGAGCAACGTAGCTTTAGGATGAAGCTAAGTTTACTTGTTTTAACTTTGTAAGAGATCATAGTACATGTTGCTATGCTATGTTCCTCCTTCAATGAGTTGTTTAAAACTCCTTTTAAGTGTTTTTTTTTTGTTTATTTATGATTTCATTGATCTCTTATTATATTTTTTATGAGATTATCGAAAACAAGCTTTTTATCTCTTCGATATTGATAAGGTTTAAGTACATTATATTCTCTCCCGACCTCACTTTTTGTTGTTGACTTATTTATTCTCGTGATCATAGCTGATTAGCTCCTTTGACTCAAGACCTAGATAATCTTGGTTAATGTAATTTCAATTACAAAATCTTGCTTAATTAAGTATAATTACATTCTTATTTATATTTTGACTGGAAATATTAAAAGAAAAATGGGTAATTAGTAGTACTGTTATATGGATCTTGTTGTTAGACTACTTTGTTTCTTATATTCAAGTTAATAAACAAATACTATGTTTTATTTTACCTAAATGCTACGATAGTTAGAAAAATTCTTTTGACTTAAATGTATCTAAAATAAGTCAATCTAAATAGAATTTAGTACATGTATTCACAAATTGAAAAAACATCAGGTAATTATATAAAATAAGTATGTATATATCAATTTATATATTTTTGTAGTTATATACAAAAAGTTTATATATATCGATTTAATATTTGATAGTTATATACAAAATTGATTGAGATATATATATTTTTTGTATATTCATATATACATATACATATATAATTTATAGTTAAATACAAACACAAATAGTTTATATTTGCACAACATATAATTTTTCAAATTTTCAAGGAAATGAGCTTTTTAAAAAGATAAAATATTATCTTTTCTTGATATTATAAAAGTAATAAATGAAATAAATAAATATATATTTAAATAGTGGACAAATAAATTTACACGAAAGGAGTAATATAGTAATTTCAACAATATATAAGAAGACACAAAATTTTACTCATAAAACGCATACACCAATAAAGTTTTATGCCTTATATTTTTTGTTCTTCTATTTTAAGTAATTGAGCAGCGTATTTTCAAGTTTTCAACGACATAAAAAATTTTTAAAAGATAAAATATGTATGTGTATTTTTCTTGATATACAAAAGATAAAAATGTAATAATTAAATACATTTTAAATTTCATGGACAAGATATAAATGAAATAAATAAAACAAGTTTTATGCCTTTTCTTATGAAATCTTTCTATTAAGGTATTTTTGAAGCATTTTTTCACGTTTACAACGATATTACGATTTTTAAACGATAAAATATCTATCTTTTCTGGATATTATAAAAATAATAAATGAAATAAATGTATAAATATTGAAAATAGTGGGAAAATTAAATTAAATAGAAGGGGTAATATAGTAATTTGAACAATAAATGAGAGGACACACATATTTACTCATAAAACGCAATTGTCAAATGAAATTTATGTCTTTTCTTATGAAATCTTTCTATTAAGGCATTTCTGAAGCGTTTTTTCACGTTTACAACGACATTACAATTTTTTAGAAGATAAAATATCTATCTTTTCTGTATATTATAAAAATAATAAATGTATAGATATTGAAAATAATGGAAAAATTAAATTAAATAGAAGGGGTAATATAGTAATTTGAACAATAAATGAGAGGACACACAAATTTACTCATAAAACACGTTTGTCATACGAGTTTTATGCCCTTTCTTATAAAATCATTCTATTAAGGTATTTCTGAAGTGTATTTTTCACGTTTTCAACAAAATGAGTTTTTTCAGAAGATAAAATATCTATCTTTTCTAGATATTATAAAAATAGTAAATGAAATAAATGTATAAATATTGAAAATAATGGAAAAATTAAATTAAATAGAAGGGGTAATATAGTAATTTGAACAATAAATGAGAGGACACACAGATTTACTCATAAAACGCGTTTGTCAAACAAGTTTTATGCCTTTTCTTATGAAATCATTCTATCAAGGTATTTCTAAAGCTTTTTTTTTTCACGTTTACAACAAAATGAGTTTTTTCAGAAGATAAAATATCTATATTTTCTGGATACTATAAAATAGTAAATGAAATAAATGTATAAATATTGAAAATAGTGGAAAAATTAAATTAAATAGAAGGGGTAATATAGTAATTTGAACAATAAATGAGAGGACATGCAGATTTACTCATAAATAACAATTGTCAAGTGAGTTTTATGCCTTTTCTTATGAAATCTTCATTTTAAGGTATTTCTAAAGCGTTTTTTCACATTTACAACGACATTACAATTTTTTAGAAGATAAAATATCTATCTTTTCCGTATATTATAAAAATAATAAATGTATATATATTGAAAATAATGAGAAAAATTAAATTAAATAGAAGGGGTAATATAGTAATTTGAACAATAAATGAGAGGACACGCAGATTTATTCATACAACGCGTTTGTCAAACGAGTTTTATGCCTTTTCTTATAAAATCTTTCTATTAAGGTATTTCTGAAGCGTTTTTTCACATTTACAACGATATTATAATTTTTTAGAAGATAAAATATCTATCTTTTCTGTATATTATAAAAATAATAAATGTATAAATATTGAAAATAATGGAAAAATTAAATTAAATAGAAGGGGTGATATAGTAATTTGAATAATAAATGAGAGGACACACAGTTTTACTCAAATACGCATTTGTCAAACGAGTATTATGTCTTTTCTTATTAAATCAGTCTATTGAGGTATTTCTGAAGCGTATTTTTCACGTTTTCAACAAAATGAGTTTTTTCAGAAGATAAAATATCTATCTTTTCTGGATATTATAAAAATAGTAAATGAAATAAATGTATAAATATTGAAAATATTGGAAAAATTAAATTAAATAGAAGGGGTAATTTAGTAATTTGAACAATAAATGAGAGGACTCATAGATTTACTGATAAAACGCAATTGCGAAATGAGTTTTACGCTCTTTCTTATGAAATCTTTCTATTAAGGTATTTCTGAAGCGTTTTTTCACTTATACAACGACATTACGATTTTTTAGAATATAAAATATCTATCTTTTCTGGATATAATAAAAGTAGTAAATGAAATAAATGTATAAATATTGAAAATAGTGGGAAAATAAATTAAAGAAAAGTGGTAATATAGTAATTTGAACAATAAATGAGGGGACACACAGTTTTACTTTTAAAATGCTATTGTCAAACAAGTTTTATGTCCTTTCTTATGAAATCTTTTTATTAAAGTATTCCTGAAGCGTTTTTTTCACGTTTTCAATGACATGACTTTTTTTAAAAGAAAAATGTTTATCTTTTCTTGATATTGTTAAAGTAGTATTTAAATAAATAATATATATTTAAAGTAGTGGGAAAATAAATTAAAGAAAAGGGGTAATATAGTTATCTAAACAATAAATAAGAGGACACAAAATTTTACTCATTACACGCTATTGTCAAATGAGTTTTATGCCTTTTCTTATTAAATCTTTCTATTTAGGTATATCTCAAGCGTTTTTTTCACGTTTTCAATGATATGTCTTTTTTTGAAAAATCAAAATATTTATCTTTTCTTGATATTATTAAAATAGTAAATGAAATAAATAATATATATTTAAAATAGTGGGAAAATAAAATTAAAGAAAAGGGGTAATTAGTAATTTCAACAATAAATGCTATTGGCAAACGACATGGTGTTTTATGTCTTATATACTGTGCTCTTCTATTTAGATATGTGAGATGCATTTTTCATGTTTTTAATGACATGACATTTTTTTAAATATAAAATATATATTCATATTTTTTTGATACTATAAAAGTAATAAATAAAATAAATAAATATATTTTAAATATAATGAACAAATAAAATTAGAGTGAAGGGGTAATATAATAATTTCAACAATATATATGAAAACACAAATTTTTATTCATAAATTGCATTCTTTGAATGCCATTTATGCATTATATTCTCAGCTCTTCTATTTACTTATTTGATAAGGATTTTTCAAATTTTCAACCACATAACACATTTTTAAAAGATAAAATATTTATCTTTTTTTGATATTATAAAAATATTAATAAAATATTTTTATAATAGTGGACAAATAAAATTAAAAGGAAGGAGTAATTTTGTAAATTCAACAACAAATAAGAAGACACAGAGTTTTACTCATAACTCGATTCGTTTTATACATTTTATGCTTTATATTCTCAGCTCTTCTATTTCTGTATCTGAACAATGTTATTTCAAAATTTCAACGACATCGACCTTTATTTTTCTTCAATATTCTATCTCTTTTTTATATTACACAATTTTTTGAAACTTAGAAAGTACTATGATAAACATATATTTAAAATACAAATTTACAAAATCTTAAATCATGAATTTGACCCGACCCGACCCGACCCATATAATTGACCAAAAAAAAACAGAGAAGATATTTAAGTAATCTTTAAATCCACTTTCAGCCACTCAATTCTCAAACTTAACAATGGCTTCCACAGGTAGCCTTTTGTGCAAATGTAGAGTTTCTTCTTTGATGAGTATCTCTTCTTTTCCTTTGATGCAACCCATAACCAGACCAGGTCAGTAATACGCCGAATCAGAATTTGAAATTTATTAATAATAGCTCGTTTTAGTTATTGAATTTCCAATTAAATATTTAGTAATTCTTTTAATACAAATATGAATCTATGTAACATGTAGTTGTTATATATTGCCATTTTTTTGCTATCTTCTTTTATATTCGATGTTTGTTCTAATTTATGTGATACTGTTTGATTAAAAATAATACTTTTTGTAATTTGTGATATACAATCGTTATATATTTACGTGATACGGTTTAATTTGACAAGAAAAAGATAAGTACTTTTGAAATAGGTGGTCTACAAACCTTACGTATTAAAGTTAAATTATTTCTAATTATACACTGACATTTTTTCCTGTGATGGCAAAATAGGAAGTACGTTTCATAAATTAGGACAGAGAGAGTAGGTAACAACTGTTACTCTCATTCGAGCTCTGGAACGAAGAAAATTCTATTGGGAGAGCACCCCTGAACGGGCTTCAATGTAGGCTCCGAACACTGTTAATTGATCAAATGCAGACTCAATCTCAAACTAGTTATAAAAATTCTGCTAAGGCTAATTGATCTGAAATAAAGTTTGGTTACTTTTGCTATACTCTGAATTGCTTTATATGTACAAAAGCCTTATAATGTCTCATTTAGTGACCTTTAAGAATCAGTAGCTATTGTTAACTAAGAGAGAATTTATATTCTTGATTCAAGATTGCTCCTTTTCGTTCTCGAAGAGAATGGTTTAGTGAAAAAGAAGGTTTCGGCTTTAAGTTAACATCGAATGTGTCATATTTGTTATGTTTCATTATATGAAATCGGAGCAGGTTCAGAATAGGCCGGTGAATTCGTCCATCTAAAATTTTAGTTGTTGGTGATCCTACACTTACAAAGAGTGCACATCATAATTTAATCAATGCAAAAGAGTTTATCTCAAGAATGTGAGTGTTTCCAACAAATTCGTTATCGTGCTTCTTGCATTTGGTAGATGTTATGGAGGAACTTTTCATGTTCAACTTTGAAAATTCAAGTTTCAATTGGTTGATTAATAAATCGTCTGTTATACGTTTGTCTGACTTGCAGAAATAACTTACTCCCAGAGACATGTCAGAGTCGGAACTTCCTCTGTCCTAAGGAATGTATCCCACAACATGAGCATGAAGAAAGTTCCACGTATGATCACCAGAGCTAGCTCAGAACCGAGTGGCAGTAGCGATGGAGCTCTTGGACAGAATAAGGCATGTTTTGCGATTGCATTCTCTATTATGAACTATGCAAATGATTCTGTTTTTTCTTATTCTGGCATCATTAGTTTGGAGAAATTTCACTCCGTTATCCTTATTAGAAGCATGTCCTCTTTCGTGCTTGGTCATTTGAATGATTTGATGCTGATGCAGACACCATTTGGATATACGAGAAAGGATGTTATATTGATTGGAGTTGGAGTTACACTTCTAGGGGTTGGCTTAAAGAGTGGATTGGAGGTACTTCGATAGATATTTTTCCTTATGTTCCGGTTCAATATATGCTTGTCTGCAATAACTTTTGTCCAAATATCTTATGCAGTTCTTGGGATTTGACCCTTTACAAGCTGGAAATGTCGTTCAATTAGTCCTGGTTTTGGGTCTAACAGTTGGATGGATCTCAACATACATCTTCAGGGTTTCAAACAAGGAAATGACGTATGCTCAACAACTACGAGACTACGAAAGCAAAGTCATGGAGGTGCGGTATTTTGATTAACATTCAACTAATCTGTTTGTTTCTATTATCCTTTTCTGTGTTGTGAATACAGTTGAATGATTTTTCTTAGTATTTTCGGAAGGGGGTCAACTTAAAGAGTTCATAGTAGAGGGACATTTACCTGAACTACGCCTATAGAATGTGACATTACAACGTTCCACCAAATTGGTTCATTCTAGAACTCTTGCTAATTCTTCAGCTGCTAACGAACATCCTCAATCAGATTGTATCATGTTAAAGGAAAAACAGAACTGCATTTTCTGATGCTAGGATTCTATTGCTACACACTAGCTGAGATATAGCTTTAGTGCAAAGCTGGGATTGCTTCTCTAGCTTAAGATATTATTTCTGAGGCTTAAAATTGTGTCTTCAACCTCTTTTATGTATTTTGAATCATTTGAAATCGATTTAACCTGAGAATTCATTCATCTGAGTTATTTTCATCATTCTGAGTCATGGGGGTCGAGTCTTAACTTTTCCCAACTTGCAGAAACGGTTAGAGAGCTTAACAGAAGCGGAATTACAAGTATTGCTTGAGCAGGTTGAAGAAGAGAAGACCCGCTTGACTAGTGGTGAAGAGGTCAAATAGATATTGTTTTCCTTGTAGCTACGTATCGTTGGACCTTGTTATCCCTGAATTATGGACTAGACCATACTGAAGTTTGTACAGTGTCGATATATGTTTGCGTAGCATTCGATGATCACATCCAACTTGATAAAACAATTCTGGAATGAAATAGGTTCCACCAGGTGGGGACTGGGGAGTTCATGTTATGTAAATTGTTTAGGATTATATAGAAAATACATGGTATACGAACTATTATTTATCGCTTGTGCATTTGTTGTTACCTTTTCTATTCAAGCAAGAACAGAAATGTGATAAAACACTGAATTTTCTTTTCAAGCAAAGAACGGAAGTGTGATAAAACAACTATTTTGGAGATCATTTTGTATTTCCACCTCAGCCATATTAGTGCTTAGATGCATACTGATGATAAAAATAAATTTTGGGTTCGACTGAACCTCAAAGATAGGTCATCTGGTGAGGATTGTCCGAGACCATAACCTCAGCCCATGTGGGAGACTCAACAGTTAACACTTCCTTCCCTCGTGAGCTGAGGACTGGACACCTGGTGCATGGACAATATAACATGGGGCTAACATAGGCTTAACAAGAATATAGATGGTTAGACTCTGATACCATGTGAAGAAAATGGTCTTCGAATTTAACTCAACCTCAAAAGTTAGTCCACGAGATGAAAGATTGCTAAAGATCATATAAGGAGATCACAAATCATTCGATCAACTGATGTGGGAGACTAACATTCTATGCAACTAAGAAGTTTTTGGAATAATAATCCATTTGCAGCTATGTGTATAATGAAAGTGTGGATTTCCCTAAAAACACATGGATGATTGATTTAGAAGGTTTTTAGTGAAACGTGGTTACTACAATAACATACTCAGTGTAGTCACATCAAGTGGCGTCTGGCCGGTGAAACACAGATAAGGGAAAAAAGTTGAAATTCATTTCACATAATCATGAAACACTTGGAAAAGAATATCAAAAAGTTGAAATCATTAGTGAAACAAATGTGTGTACACTTAAAAATACTTTATACTTTTCCTCTCTATGTACAGAATTTGATCCCTTTCGATTTTCTTGTCTGGTATATTCATGAATCATCGCTAGTATCAGAAGACGAACTGCTCTTGGAAATGTCTGATAAGAAGTTAGCAGGCAATTTTGGAAATCTGACAGCTCTACTATTTTCCATTCCTGGTGATGATGATCCTCCAACAGCTACAAGGGGTTTCTTTTTCTGCATGTTTCTTGTAATCTCTACACAAACTTTATCAACCATTTCTAGGAAATCTTTAACTATGGCGAATAGTTGAAGTGGTTGCCATCCTTTATCATCTGAAGCTCCTGCTTGATAATAATCTGTTGTTTTCTTCACGAGTTCCATTACTCTATCTTGTTCGTCTCTCACTGTTTTCATTTCTTTTTCAGCAGCATCCAGGAATTTCTTCATCTCTTTACCGAATAGTCCTTTAACATTGTCGCGTTGTGCCAAATGTGTCTTTATTTCAGATATCTGAGCTGTTAGCATCGAGCACGTCTTGGACAGCAAGTCATAGTCTATTGCAGCTGCTTTCTTTACATTACTAAATGCAGAACTTAATCCACCCACTATTGGTAAGCCAAGCATCATATACTCCTTCTCGGTCTCATCATTTTCTGTAGTGTTCTTTGATGTCGGAATGGCGCTGCTCGCAGTAGTCTGGCTATTGCTACGCCTTAAACTTTGATTACGATTTAGAACGCAACGTTTTCCTTCTGCTCTGACTACTTCTTGCACAACAAAGTGAAGTAATGTGGTCTTACCATCCATACTTTTCACATCAGACAGTTTTCTGAGAGCAGTAAGTTTAAACGCTTGTGCGTTTCCTCTTGAAGTTCCGGCATTCATTCTATTCCCCGCTTTCAAAATAGCTTCTAGAAGTTTCAAGAACAATCTTTGAGCTTTAAGCTCCTTGCAAGACAACTCAAGTGTTTGCAAGTACTCTTTATGATGCTGAATTTCTGTCCCATAATTTGATCTAAAAAGCATGGCGTTGAAACGAGTAAAGGCGGATGGAACAGCTTTAAGTATATGAAAGAGGAAAGATTCAGCATCAGCTAATCTGGTAGGATCTCCTTCAAATGTAACAACTTCTGTTTCCTCTTCTTTTGTTGGGGCTATTCTGCAGAGTTTCTCAAGAGTATCAACACTTAAACCTTGTCCATCGATGAGTGCATCGATAATCTCTTTACGAGTAACACCAAGTGACCTAAGTACAATTGCAATATTTTGTGACTTTCTGGTTTCAAGAATGAATATCTGAGAAGGTGGACCTGATATATCTGCTCTTGGACTCAAAGCTCTACTTTCTGTTCCTGAGGGCTTTTTGTTTGTAGCCACACATCCAAATAGTGCCTCCATAAGATCTCCATCAAACCTACATGAAAGGTAAACAATGTTTATATTTGAGTACATAGTTATACATATGGGGATACAAAAAGGAGAGATGGAAAATATGTTTTACTTGAACGATCCACGATCGAGTTTGTCCCAAACCATTGAATGCTCAACATTAGCATTCAATTTATCCCAATGCAATGGCTTTAGTTTCACTTTATCATTTCCACTTCCTGAACCCCCTTCCCCTGATGATGATGCTGATGAATGAGTAGGTGGTGGAGGTAGTGGAGGGCCTTTCTTTAGTCCTGGTGGCGGTGGTGGTGGTGGACCAGGCGCCTTTGGTATCGCTGATACAGACAATGGCGGTGCTGGTGGAGGTGGAGGAGCTCGTGTTTCGAGTTGACTTGATGATGCTTGTCTCTCCATGGGGTGAAAAACAATGCCATCATCAGGATTTGGTTGTTTGTTTTCTAAATCAAGCCAAGAAGGGCTTTGAGAAGTTGAAGATTTGCCTCTAAGCAGAGGCAATTCTTGAATTGGATGATCTGGTTTCTTCCGTCCACCGACGCCTCGACTAATCATCCTCTTCTCTTCTTCATCTCTCAATGCATTTACAAACACCTTCTTCTTCTTGAAACTCTCTTTCCTCTGTTCATCACTCTCCATTTTCCTCCAATAAAGCACATCCAATCCATTTTCATCAACAATCACTCCTTTTAAATTCCCTTCAAATTTCAAGAATTGATCTTGATGAATAGCACCACCACCACCGCGTGGATCACCAACCGCGGTACCTTCTTGTTGCTTTCTCCTACGCCTCGAGTACCTAACAAGGAAAAAGAACAAAAGAGCAGATAACACAACAGTACTAGCTGCAGTCACACCAATAGCTGTTCCAACAGCCTTGTTTGATGATGTATCTGGTGTTGACACGGAAGGCGGTAACGCAGGCTTATCAGTGGGGTCCGGTGGAAGTACCGGAGGAGATGATGGTGGTGGTGGTGGTGATCGTTGAACGGGCGGAATAGGAGGAGGGAGAAGATTAGGCAAAGGAAAAGGAAAGAAAGTTTCTACATTTTGTGATTGAGATGTAACACTTGGAATCATTGAAAGAATGTAAAAAATGAAGAGATAAAGAATCATATTGATAGACATATTATTGTAATGAGAGTTTTATGAAATTGAGAAGAAGAATTTTGGTTTATGTTGAGCATTGTTTGTTCAAAAAACTCTTTTACTCTTATTTCTTGGATTTGGTATATGGTTTTTCTAGCTTGCTGACACTTTCAAAAGGGGGAGTAGTTAATTTTTCCCGGTATTTTACAAGAGAAATATTGTTGCAAAATGACCAAAATACCCCTTACCTAAACCGAAAAATTGTATTTTATATAAGCTTGACGTATGTTACAGAGGCGGAGTCAGGATTTCGATTTTTATAGGTTTTGACTTTCTTTTATGTGATCATCGTTTCAGGGTTAACTTTCGCGCATCTCGATTAATTCCGCGGGCACCAATGATATGATGATTTTAAGTGTTTGATTACTGAGTTTCAGTATATTGGTTGAGTAAAAGTTATTGAATTTGGTCAAATTCTGTATCTAGATTTCTACCTACTCCTTGCTAGATTTATGGGAGCGAGTTCATTTGAATATTTATGTCATATACATTTTGTGTGAAAAACCTTGAAATACTACTCTATCGATTTATTTTTATTTGTTCAGTTTGGATTTTACATATACTTTAGGGATTGTTTGGTAACTTTAGTTTAGTATACGTGAATGGAAAATTAAGTTTGGAATTAAAATTTATGAAATAATAATTGATATGGATGTTTAACCATAATATTTATATTGATTAGTGTTTAGTTTCATGTTTTGGAAGATGATTTGAAAAATAAATAATTAATGGTAAGAGTAAAATATGAGGGAAAAAAAGATGTTTTTCTCTTAATGTATTTCAAGTGACAAATAAAAATAAAAATATATTTATACAATAAATAAATAAAAGTAAATGAAATTTTAAATTTATATTTTTAACTAATTCAAAATATTAAACTCATAAAATTTTAAATTTTAAACGCAAAATATTTGCGTACTGTAGACATGACATATAGTTGTGAAAGTAGCTGAGTTCTTTGACAAAGTCTTCACATTTGCTGGCTTTTTCCTTTTATTTTGACCATTTATATTAAACACTAGGGTTATGCCTATGCAATTATTTTATTCTTATATATTTATATTTTCAACAATTAATTATTTAATGACATCTCATAGTAATAAAAAGTCAGAAGGAAGACTCTATCAAAATAAATTAACGTACCAACAAATTTAAAAAAATATAGTTTATCATATGTACTTTCACATAACAATAACATTTTACCCCCTCCCCCTTCCCAAAAAAATATGTTTTTTCTTTTTTTTTTTTAAGTTTGATATTTATATTAAATTTCGATTAAATTGAAATTCGATTTAAAAAGTTTTATATTAAGATAAAATTCTCTCTTAATAAAGTAGATTTCATATATAGAAGCTAATCACTAGACTGCTCTGAAATAGATTAAAGAAAATCAAACTCAGAATCTGATTAATTAAAAATAAAGAAATATTTACCACTCTAAATCAACGCTGGTCGTAGAACTTTTCTTAAAGGAGATTGGAAAGAAACAAATAACAAGTCGAATAATTTAATTATTAATTTAAGTTGGCTTTTTTTAAAAAAATTAATTTAGTGAATAGAATTGAATTGGCAAAATAATTATTTCTTTAATTGTGTGTGCCAAAGGAGGACTTGGTTGACACATCATAGGGAAGTTGTTCACCAAAACATAATAGTTTTTTTCTAGAAAGATCTAAGCAAACACATCTTTACTTAATCCCTTTATAGAAAAGTAGTTGAAAAGAGACAACTAATCTTTATCTAATCATAATATTTTTAAATAATTGTTATTCAATATATGATACTTGTTAAAATTTTGATTAATTTAAATTTGTATGAGATTAACTTTATTTAAAAAAAAATTGGTGAATTTTTACACTTGTTGGATTGTGTGCATGTGAGTTTTTCAAGAGAAGTTGGCTTTATTCAATAGTCAAAGATTGTGTTAATTTCATCAAATTGGTGCATAGTGGTCATTAATAGTAGCTCAGAAATTTAATGTGTTTGCTTGAATCTTAGGACCATTGCTTGTGACTTGTGTTAGTGTAGGTGGAAAATCAATGAGCAAAAAAATAATTTTAAAAAAAAGGCAACTCATATGTGAGAATATTTTTTTAGAAATTAAAACTCGAGATTTATTATTAAGGATCGAATATTTTCATGATAGCTGTTCATTTTTTCTTTATGTACACCTTAAAAATTATAAATAAAAAAGATAATTTTACTTATTTGCTAATTAAGAAATCTTTTTAGAACTTTACAAACTTAGTATTTAATTGTAAGTGGGAGTGTGTTTTTGGTTTTTCGGTTCGATTTTATACTATTCGATTTGAATTTTTGGTTTTTGGTTTTGAAGAAGTGTAACCTAATTCAAACCAAAATAAATTTGGTTTGGTTTGATTTTTCTCTTTTTGGTTTGGGTTTTTTTCAATTTGGTTAATCGGTTATGTCAATAATTAGAAACATAAAAAAGTTATATTTGCAATATATATATATATATATAATATTGAATTTCTTAAACATACCTTTTAATATAAATCACAAGCAAATCATTAAACTCAATACTTAAAAGTATATCAATTTGAAATCAAACCAAAAAATCAAATAAAGTAAATTATAAATCCAAAATCATACCAAGAATCCAAAAAACCAATCCAAATTAGAATCCGATTTATTTTTTCAATTTAATTCAAATAGTGCATACCCCTAATTGTAAGAGTATAATGGGGAAAAAATTATTTATTCTATTTTAGTTTTAATTTGTAAATTGACATGTAATTTGTGAAAATTATTAATGAGATGGATAACTAAAATGAGACGAGGAAAATACGTAATCTTTTTAGTTTTATGGGTATTGTTTGATATCTAATTTTTACTTTTTAGGTACCAATTATTTCAATTTTTGTGTAGCATAAATTCTATTAAATGGGGAAATATTCTCTACTAAATGGCTTTTTTTTTAAAAATAAAATCCAAATACTCTTTTATATTAATTTACAATAAAATAGGGATTAGGAAAGATTCAACTATATATGTACTATTGATTATGATGTATTAACCGCTTAATTTTATTTTTTAGAAACATTAAGAAAAAAACGAGTGAATTATCTAACCATTGAATATAATTTTAACAATTTGTCAAATAAGGACATTTGACTATACTTTAGTTGATCATTAATCAAAGTGTGAACTCTAATCCATATTAAAATGCATGATTCACATTTCCAAATTAACTCCCTTAAACTCAAAATTAATATTTAAATTCTGAATCCATTACGAAAATTAATGAAACTAAGAGGCAGATCTGCCCCAAAATTAGGAGGATTACGTACCCCGAAAACCTAAAAAAAAAAGTATATATCTTAAACGTGAGGTATATATTTTGCTAAACAACCTCATGTAGGTTTAGACCAATACACTACAATAAAAATAACTTTTTGCAGTATTAAATATTGGCACTAATAAAGAGTGTTAACATCTTTATCGGCATTAGTTAAGTGTCATTAGAACTAATGTCACTAAAGGCTTTATGGACATATACAAAGAGTGACAATTGCTGCTAAAAATACATGTTTAGTAATAATTAAAAATTAAATGCCGCTAATGATCATTCTTGTTATAGTAATAGTGCCTCCATTAATTTCAAATTTTGAATCCGCCTCTGAACGATTCGCGGTTCGATGCATGGTGTGTAAACCTACATTTTTTATTTTTTCTTGTTTTTTGACGACTTCAATGTCCACATGAAAATTGTTAGATGAATTTGATTCCATGCAGGATTACGTTAATGTGATAACAGCCTTTTAATTACTTAGGTATTTTATTTTTATAGATAGACATTTTAGAGTACTACACGAAAAACTTTTTTTGAATTTTATAATATAAAGTAATTATGATTAGGTAACTCCAAGTGACCCATTCTTGGATGAATGGATTTGTAGATATATAATCATCAAATATAGTAGCTAAAGTCAGAATTTTCACGAAAAAGTAAATATATAGAGGAAAAAATGATTTTTCAATATCTACATCTATATACATACAAAAATTTTGATAATATATTTAAGTTTTTATTTCTTTCACCCAACGTGACTCTATCCTGCTCAAACGTGATTTATAGTTAATGTATAACATATAAGAGTTGTACGACATATTATCAATGAAAAAAAAATAGAAAAGAATAATTGAAATCTATAATCGTGAATTTTAACTATTCATCCAAGAGCATTTTGACTTTAGAATATTTCTTTTTATATAAACCACGTAAAACTTATTTTCTTGCCAAAAAAGGATAATATATTTAGACAATTACTAATGATAATTATTATGTTAATACTTCCAAAAAAGTTTCTATAGATGAGTAAGGAGATCCCTTTTTCAGTACATAAAATTAGGATAAAAAAACAAATTGTTGACTTTAAAAATATGATTTATAAATCCAGTTGATATTGACCAATACTGCACGTTTGTCCCAAGAAAAAAAAGACAAAAAAAGTCTTCTCATAATTTGTAGTTTTTGAAGAATCACACTTTTGGGTATAGTTGTATTGTTCTAATTTATAGCATTACTTGATCAATTAATAACATGTCCAAACATGACAAGACTTTGTTACATACTCCACATATTTTAATTCCTAACATTTTTAGAAGACATTGTTATATCTATTACATGTATCTTAGATATACTGATCTTTTTGCTCGTCTCTCTCATATCTCACTAGCTTCTCTCCTATGTCCTTCTCTCGTTCGCTGCTCTACTGATGAATTTGTATTTTAGAATATATTTAGTAGCAAAAATACATATAACTCTTCATATATTTGACTTGAAATCTGGTATGGAATTATTAATTCGTAAGACTATATGTAATGATTTCAAACTAGAAGAAGAATGGTAAGAATGTTTGTGTAATTAACTAGTTTTCCCTATATATTAAGAACGTTGTCCGTCCACCAACATGGATTGTGGTGCACTGGTGGGAGTGCTTCATCATTAACCAAAGGACTCGGGTTCGAGCCCTGGGCATGGAGAAAATCATGTTGGGAGCGCCATCCTCGAATTGGTCCTGCAATGTGTAATTCAGATTTAGTCAGAGCTCTAATGTAGGCTCCGGACACCGGGTAGAAAAAC